CACACGCACACACACACACACACACACACACACACACACACACCCCCTACCTCCCCACCACAGGCATAAAATCTAAAGCTCTCCATTGTCTAAAAAGTACATTTCTCGGGTGATAAATGTTTGGAGGTTATCTCCCAAGAATGTTAATAGATATGCAGAGCATTCTTTGAACAGCCATGTACATAATCCTTTATGTTTATCTTTGTCACTGTTTCAGGAGAGGGAGAGGGGGAGAAAAAGACCCAAGAAGTAGGCTGCCAAAAGACCTAGCTACTAGCGAGATGTTTAGACCTTGCTTCAAGTCTTCCGAAACCACGTTTACAGTCAAGGTGCTACTAATGTAGGTCATAGTTTGTGTGGGCCAAACTTTTACCAGCATAACCTATTCCACCACCCTTGAGCTAGACATCTATACTGGTAAGTGTGCAATTTGCTGTTATCACTTCATCTACACTATGGGCTTTTGCTGGCACATATGTGTTGGTCAAGAATCACAGTTCTTCACACCCCAAACAACATAGAGATCAGAAGTTTGTAGGATATACTACCTAACTTACCTAAAAACATGTTCACTACAGTGCTGAGCCTCCATCCCACCAGTAAGGAGATTTGTTGTGGAGTTTTGGTTTTTTTAAATATAAAAGTTGTTAAATGTTGCAAACAAATCTGGACTGCTGTAGGTCTGTCAAATGGTTTTCAGAGAAGTACAAATCACAACCATCACTGGAGTTATTTTTTTGGGAGCTGATGGCATTCCACACTTAGAACATATAGGCTATGTCTACACTCACAGCTTCTTGTGCCAGAAATATGCAAATGAGGCTAAGCATGGAATATCACCGCACCTCATTTGCAAACCTAATGAGCTGCCATTTTTGCAGAAGAGGCTCTTGCACCAGAAGGAGCTGTCTACACTGCCCCTTCTTGCACAACAAAGACCTTCTTGCGCAAATGCCATTCTTCCTGAAAAGTAATCGGCGTAACGGCATTGTGGAAAGGGTTTTTGTTGCACAAGAAGGGGCAGTGTAGACAGCTTCTTCTGGTGCAAGAGCCTCTTCTGCAAAAATGGCGGCTCATTAGGTATGCAAATGAGGCTTGGCAATATTCCACACTTAAGCCTCATTTGCATATTTCTGGCGCAAGAAGCCGTGAGTGTAGACATAGCCATACAGGAGCTGGTCCAGTGCACCATTCATATTCACAGCTTACATACCTGGGGTTAGGAACAGTAAGGCACTCTGCATGAGTGGGTCTTTTAAATTACTTTGTACTATAGTTATGGATTTATGAAGCAAGAGATGTGTTAATTCCAGGGTAAAGCAGCTAAAAAAGGAGGTGACAGACTAGAACAAGCCGTTTATCCATGAGGCAGGGGAAAGGAGGGGACAGATCACCACTGATATAAGACACACATTTAAGCAAGAGCTACGTGGGTTCTGTGGAAGATCTTGGAACATAGGGGACTTAGAAGTCATCCCTTCCTGGGCCAGTTAATTGCCCTGTCCTCCTCCCCCCCGCCCCCCAATCACAGGAGAGAGCTATCTAATAGAAGCCTAAAGGTTTTCTGATGACCTTTGACCTGGCTATTTAACTGATCTAGCCCTAGATCTGCAATTCTGTCTCTTCTTCAGAGGGAGACCTTATAACCTGTGGAGCCAGTTGTACAACATTTCATAAGGGGGAAAAAAAGAGAGAATGATAACTAACCACAAGTTGAATCTCTCTAGTCCAGCACACTCTGATCCAGCAACATCCATGGTCAGGCATGATTTTAGTTAGCCAGATGTCCACTTACCATAGGCGGGACCAAGTTTCCCACAGTCCCATAAAGTTTGTTTACAGCTACAATTCCTGGCTCTCAGTGTTCTATGCTGTTAATTAGCTCTAATTTACCCCAACTGTCTTTTAAGAGCACAGTAAGCAGTGAAAGTGTTGGTAATGCTGCTAGATAATATTGACCTCCCATGGTTCGGCACGTCAGGTCCCAAGGGTGCCAGGCTAGAGAGGTTCAACCTGTAAACCCAAAAAGTAAGTTGTACATGTACAAAAAGGAGGCTTACAAGTCTTTATTCTGAACCCTCTGGGCTCACAATTTTGCTTCTTCCATGCCAGCATAATTCCCTTTGAAATCAACTAGTCATGCAAAAATATCAGACAGACGTGGAAAGGCACACTCAAGTATGTGTGTACTTAAGGCGTACCTTCACATGATAATGAGCATCAAGCAGAATGTTTGCTGGCTTGAGGTCCAGATGGAGTAGTGGCGGTGACATGCAGTGCAGGAAGTTCATCCCCACAGCGGTCTCGTGGATTATTCGAAAGCGTAGCTCCCATGGTAGCGGTTCTGAGACCAGGAGCTTTTCCAGTGATCCTGTCTCCATATATTCCATGACCAAGCCAACAGGTTCTTTACAGATGCCATAAACAGGAAGAATGTAACGGAACTTTGCCATTTCCATCTTCTTGGCTTCTTCCAATAGCTCCATGCGCTCCCTACATGAAATGGAACATACCATAAAGGGTTCAGTGGTCAGTCACAAAACATTCATTCATGCAGTATCTCATTCTGACAAAGTACCTTGGCGCATTAGCTCACAGGGCTGAATAATACATTTAATAATCCCTGCTTGGGATTGAGTTTCAGACAATGCCCACAGTTAGTGTTAAATCCATTTGACCACAATTCTTGCTTTTAACTGAGCAAATTTAATATTTCCAAGCATTAACTCCCTTGGCTATTAAAATCATTAGCCTTTTTGCAACTCATAAGACAAGCTCATGTCTAAGTGTGATAGGACAGTATTACCCAGTGTGCCTTACTACACATAGGTAACCAAAGCTAGAGTAGGTCTCAGGACAAAAGCCTCAAACTGATTCGTAGAGACGGGAGTTTTTCTGATTAGAGAGTTACCATGAAACACCCCTTTTCCACATGGCCCAAATTCTGTTTGTTACTATCGCCCCACAGCTCTAGTTAGCACTGAAAATGTCAATCTTCATTTAAGTTAGCAGGCCCAGTTGGCATAAGTATCTAATGTACAAAACTTGTCACCATGCAACACAAGGATTGTTTACCAGCCAAGTGCAGTCTGACCCCATGAGGTGCTCCTATTAAAGTCAATAGGATTGGAGACCACTCACTGCTTTTTAGAACAAGACCCCACACTGCAAGCAATAAGGCAGAAGACATGGAGCTGATTTCACAAGCTCATCATTCGTATTTGTTTACCTGAAGACAAGAGCAAACCTGATAATACAAGGGTTCCATTTCAAAGTTTTATATAGAAAGACAGAGTGTCCTGGTAGGGGAAGAATACAACCAAAAATGAATGAGACTAGGACAACATAATGTGCAACTTTGGCTCATGGGTAACAATAAAAATCAGGTATCAGAGGGGTAGTCGTGTTAGTCTGAATCTGCAAAAGCGACGAGGAGTCCTGTGGCACCTTATAGACTAACTGAAGTGTAGGAGCATAAGCTTTCGTGGGCAAAGACCCATGCATCTGATGAAGTGGGTCTTTGCCCACGAAAGCTTATGCTCCTACACTTCAGTTAGTCTATAAGGTGCCACAGGACTCCTCGTCGCTTTTGCAGATTCAGACTAACACGACTACCCCTCTGATACCTGATTTTTATTGTTACCCATGAGCCAAAGTTGCACATTATGTTGTCCTAGTCTCATTCATTTTTGGTTGTATTCTTCCCCTACCAGGACACTCTGTCTTTCTATATAAAACTTTGAAATGGAACCCTTGTATTATCAGGTTTGCTCTTGTCTTCAGGTAAACAAATACGAATGATGAGCTTGTGAAATCAGCTCCATGTCTTCTGCCTTATTGCTTGCAGTGTGGGGTCTTGTTCTAAAAAGCAGTGAGTGGTCTCCAATCCTATTGACTTTAATAGGAGCACCTCATGGGGTCAGACTGCACTTGGCTGGTAAACAATCCTTGTGTTGCATGGTGACAAGTTTTGTACATTAGATACTTATGCCAACTGGGCCTGCTAACTTAAATGAAGATTGACATTTTCAGTGCTAACTAGAGCTGTGGGGCGATAGTAACAAACAGAATTTGGGCCATGTGGAAAAGGGGTGTTTCATGGTAACTCTCTAATCAGAAAAACTCCCGTCTCTACGAATCAGTTTGAGGCTTTTGTCCTGAGACCTACTCTAGCTTTGGTTACCTATGTGTAGTAAGGCACACTGGGTAATACTGTCCTATCACACTTAGACATGAGCTTGTCTTATGAGTTGCAAAAAGGCTAATGATTTTAATAGCCAAGGGAGTTAATGCTTGGAAATATTAAATTTGCTCAGTTAAAAGCAAGAATTGTGGTCAAATGGATTTAACACTAACTGTGGGCATTGTCTGAAACTCAATCCCAAGCAGGGATTATTAAATGTATTATTCAGCCCTGTGAGCTAATGCGCCAAGGTACTTTGTCAGAATGAGATACTGCATGAATGAATGTTTTGTGACTGACCACTGAACCCTTTATGGTATGTTCCATTTCATGTAGGGAGCGCATGGAGCTATTGGAAGAAGCCAAGAAGATGGAAATGGCAAAGTTCCGTTACATTCTTCCTGTTTATGGCATCTGTAAAGAACCTGTTGGCTTGGTCATGGAATATATGGAGACAGGATCACTGGAAAAGCTCCTGGTCTCAGAACCGCTACCATGGGAGCTACGCTTTCGAATAATCCACGAGACCGCTGTGGGGATGAACTTCCTGCACTGCATGTCACCGCCACTACTCCATCTGGACCTCAAGCCAGCAAACATTCTGCTTGATGCTCATTATCATGTGAAGGTACGCCTTAAGTACACACATACTTGAGTGTGCCTTTCCACGTCTGTCTGATATTTTTGCATGACTAGTTGATTTCAAAGGGAATTATGCTGGCATGGAAGAAGCAAAATTGTGAGCCCAGAGGGTTCAGAATAAAGACTTGTAAGCCTCCTTTTTGTACATGTACAACTTACTTTTTGGGTTTACAGGTTGAACCTCTCTAGCCTGGCACCCTTGGGACCTGACGTGCCGAACCATGGGAGGTCAATATTATCTAGCAGCATTACCAACACTTTCACTGCTTACTGTGCTCTTAAAAGACAGTTGGGGTAAATTAGAGCTAATTAACAGCATAGAACACTGAGAGCCAGGAATTGTAGCTGTAAACAAACTTTATGGGACTGTGGGAAACTTGGTCCCGCCTATGGTAAGTGGACATCTGGCTAACTAAAATCATGCCTGACCATGGATGTTGCTGGATCAGAGTGTGCTGGACTAGAGAGATTCAACTTGTGGTTAGTTATCATTCTCTCTTTTTTTCCCCCTTATGAAATGTTGTACAACTGGCTCCACAGGTTATAAGGTCTCCCTCTGAAGAAGAGACAGAATTGCAGATCTAGGGCTAGATCAGTTAAATAGCCAGGTCAAAGGTCATCAGAAAACCTTTAGGCTTCTATTAGATAGCTCTCTCCTGTGATTGGGGGGCGGGGGGGAGGAGGACAGGGCAATTAACTGGCCCAGGAAGGGATGACTTCTAAGTCCCCTATGTTCCAAGATCTTCCACAGAACCCACGTAGCTCTTGCTTAAATGTGTGTCTTATATCAGTGGTGATCTGTCCCCTCCTTTCCCCTGCCTCATGGATAAACGGCTTGTTCTAGTCTGTCACCTCCTTTTTTAGCTGCTTTACCCTGGAATTAACACATCTCTTGCTTCATAAATCCATAACTATAGTACAAAGTAATTTAAAAGACCCACTCATGCAGAGTGCCTTACTGTTCCTAACCCCAGGTATGTAAGCTGTGAATATGAATGGTGCACTGGACCAGCTCCTGTATGGCTATGTCTACACTCACGGCTTCTTGCGCCAGAAATATGCAAATGAGGCTTAAGTGTGGAATATTGCCAAGCCTCATTTGCATACCTAATGAGCCGCCATTTTTGCAGAAGAGGCTCTTGCACCAGAAGAAGCTGTCTACACTGCCCCTTCTTGTGCAACAAAAACCCTTTCCACAATGCCGTTACGCCGATTACTTTTCAGGAAGAATGGCATTTGCGCAAGAAGGTCTTTGTTGTGCAAGAAGGGGCAGTGTAGACAGCTTCTTCTGGTGCAAGAGCCTCTTCTGCAAAAATGGCAGCTCATTAGGTTTGCAAATGAGGTGCGGTGATATTCCATGCTTAGCCTCATTTGCATATTTCTGGCACAAGAAGCTGTGAGTGTAGACATAGCCTATATGTTCTAAGTGTGGAATGCCATCAGCTCCCAAAAAAATAACTCCAGTGATGGTTGTGATTTGTACTTCTCTGAAAACCATTTGACAGACCTACAGCAGTCCAGATTTGTTTGCAACATTTAACAACTTTTATATTTAAAAAAACCAAAACTCCACAACAAATCTCCTTACTGGTGGGATGGAGGCTCAGCACTGTAGTGAACATGTTTTTAGGTAAGTTAGGTAGTATATCCTACAAACTTCTGATCTCTATGTTGTTTGGGGTGTGAAGAACTGTGATTCTTGACCAACACATATGTGCCAGCAAAAGCCCATAGTGTAGATGAAGTGATAACAGCAAATTGCACACTTACCAGTATAGATGTCTAGCTCAAGGGTGGTGGAATAGGTTATGCTGGTAAAAGTTTGGCCCACACAAACTATGACCTACATTAGTAGCACCTTGACTGTAAACGTGGTTTCGGAAGACTTGAAGCAAGGTCTAAACATCTCGCTAGTAGCTAGGTCTTTTGGCAGCCTACTTCTTGGGTCTTTTTCTCCCCCTCTCCCTCTCCTGAAACAGTGACAAAGATAAACATAAAGGATTATGTACATGGCTGTTCAAAGAATGCTCTGCATATCTATTAACATTCTTGGGAGATAACCTCCAAACATTTATCACCCGAGAAATGTACTTTTTAGACAATGGAGAGCTTTAGATTTTATGCCTGTGGTGGGGAGGTAGGGGGTGTGTGTGTGTGTGTGTGTGTGTGTGTGTGTGTGTGGTTGTTTGTTTTGTTTTGTTTTGTTTTTGTTTTTTTTAAATCCCAAATTCTTGGTTTACCTGTAATCAAAAGGTGTGGGTTTTTTTTTTTTTTTAAATTTTTCTCTCCATTTTAATATTAGTAGAAAGTTGAATAGAAAGTGGGTACTTGTCAGCACAGATTTGGATGGTGGTATATTTGGAAAGGAGCAATATGCACAGTGTTAAAGGCACCAACAAATAAGGATGGCACTAACATCCTAACATGCTATGCTCCTATACAGTACAATTTAGCAAGCTGAGAACCAAATCTGACTTCCAGTGACTTTGGTGGGAGTTGAATTCCACCACCTAGCAAGCAAATATACAAGGTTAAAGCCACACTTTTCAGGCATGTGCAAATGCCAGTGTGATACACATGCACCTACAGACAAATTGGAGGACTGAAAATGTATTAATTCATGAGTCTGTAAATTGGGTTCCTGCACTCAAGAAAATATGGCCTCAAAGCTCCTTTTTGTGTAGAGTGAAACTTTTACTCTCTGAATCTCAGGGCTGATCTACGCTGAAAACTTCTACTCCTGAGCAAAGGAACTATGCCAACCTCCCCACTGTGTAGACAGAATTCTTTTATTGACCTAGCTGCTGCCTCTCAGCAAGGTGGATTAGCTACAACAAATCCCCTCCCCTCGCTGTAATGTGTGCACATACTTAAAATGCTACCGCGTGCACACGGTCCTTTACAAAGTATGTTCCCGTAAGCCAGGAAACACATACAATGAATAGGGAATGCTCCTGTGTGTCCTTCCACTTTTTAAAATAAAAACCACACCTTTTTCTTTTAACAAGCATAATATTTATTTTAAAAATTCCATGTGATACTGACTTCTGGGCAGCCCTATTTTATTAGTCATCAAGGAATGCCTCTGTACCATAAAGTTGTCTCCGGGGTATATTTGGTTAATTTTGTTATTGGGAAATAATGAACAGGGTGGTGTAAACCACAGCCGGAAACAAATGAATATAAGCAATACATTTCAAAGAGTTCAAGTTGATGTCTTTCAATAATATGTTTTTACAGTAAGGTTTTTCTAAGAGTTTTTTGTTGTGTGTCTTGCATTAACTTGTTTTTTTTTTTTTTTAATTAAAGTAGCTATTTTACAAGTATACTAGAAGTTAGTTGGGCTTTTCCATCTCTAAGTCATCAGGCCTAGTTCTCTGCTCATGCAGGACTGTTTCCCCATGCTACTTTTTCTAGTGTCTTGTTCCATCCTGAGCAATGGCTCTTTCCAGTACTTCCATTGGGAAGATGATTTCACATATTAATAGGTTTCCCTATCAAGAATCTTTTTCCTGATATTCAGCTTGTATTTTTATTTTCTGAATTCTGATCCATTATTCCTTGTTATGTCTACTGTACCAATCTAAATAATTCCCTCCTCTACTTACTGTTTGCCCCCTTTGGCTATAGACTGTAGATGGTTTGTCCCCAGTTCTCACTTAGTCAAGCTAGACCTCATTAGCTCTTGTAATCTTAAGATTTGGAGGGCTTTACCAATATCAGTCTGGTAGTTAAGTGCCTAGGAACAAACGTGATATCTCAAATTCAGCCATAAAGACCTGTTAGAGTATTAATTCCTTGGTCTGATACTTCATGTTCATCCATAAAATGCATTAGCCACTTGGGCTGCAGTAACTATTCTTAACTTTCTGGCAGCTCCTACTCCTTGGTCTCTTTCAGCATTACTGCTTTCCAGGTTTTTCTTCCCATTAAATACAGGTTGAACCTCTCTAGTCTGGCACTATCTGGTCTGGTAACATCTGTGATCCGACATGATTTTAGTTAGCTGGACATCCACTTTTCATGGATGTGGCCAAGATTCTTGCACTCTCATAAAGATTGTTTGCAGCCACCAGTTCTGGCTCTCAGTGTTCTGTGCTGTTCTTTAGCTCTAATTTACCCCCAAAATATCTTGTCAGAGCCCAGTAAGCATTGCAAGTGAATGCAAGTAGACAATATTATAGTTTGTCAAATTCTCTGGTTCAGCATCAGTCAAGTCCCTTTCAGCTTACTGTCCCTATATGTATCAGACTTGCTTTTTTCCAGGCTAACTTCATTTTGCGGTTTTCTGCTTCGGTTTCTGATCTCTCTAGATCCTTCTGTTTTTTCTGTCCTGTCTGGTATTTGCAACTTCTCTCAGCTTAATACAAACCACAGTAGTGTTGGTGTGTGTGTGTGTGTTTTTTTTTTTCTTTTTTTTTCCGGGTATACTCTTCACTCTCCTTACAGATGTCTAAGAACACCAGATCCCAAGGACAGCTACTTAGCTAGACGTCACCTTCAGACCTCTCCTCCCCCCCACATAGCACTGTTGCTCTGTGTCATTACTGCTCCTGTCTTAAACAAATGTTAGGAATGAGACTTTATGAAACATTATATGCAAGGTTGTCTGTAGGATATATGGGGCCCTACACAACACTATTAAATTGGTGCTCTTATGCACTATGGCATTTGAGGAGAAGGGATGATTTTTTTTTTTTTTTTTTTTAAGGGATGTGATTTTTATAATCTTCAGCAACACACCAATGAAATATTTTTAAAGCAAATTTTAAACTAAGGTCCTGTCGACTAACACAGTAAATTTGGAAACTGACAGTATATGCCTGGAGTTGAGAAATGCCTGTTAAATTGTTTCATTATCACTTGAGTGGCTCTCTTACAATTTCAATGTTCTGCTAATAGATTTGGCAGGCTTTTTCACTTTTAATTAGATCCTCTCTGGAGGAAGTGGAACCAGGGAACAGGGACAGGAAGAGAGAGATGAGTGGGCATAAGACTCAGTGGTGCCTCAAATTTTCAGGTGACCTATGCCGCTACATATTTTGCATATGGATCAGAATGGCCCTCATTATATCAAAGGCTTTACTGAAATGTAGATGCAGTAATATTTAATACTTCCTAATTTTATTCTAGTAACGAAGTGATTATGAACTTTAAAGGGGCACAGCCAAGCTGGAAGACTTATTTCTGTCTGGAAATGTTATACATACCTACTATAGTAACAAGTAATGCCCCAAACTACAAAATTGGAAAGTTAGAATAGTTTTTTTCCCCCTATTCTGCAGATTACTTTCTGTATAATTAGTTTGTGTTTTTTCCTTTTGTTTTTCACCTTTGCTGAAAAGATTGTTATAAATATTAACTGAAGAACAGAAAACTTTTTTTTTTTTTTAATTTAGGGTATTGTTTAAAAGGATGTCCTATCAGAAACTGGGATTATTTTTAGTCAGATTCATAACATTAAGAAATACTTGTTGAGAGGTTTAAATAAACTGAGGAAGGCTCAGGTAAACCGAGACAAAGTTAAATGTAAGCGGTAGGGGTAGATTGTAATGTAGCAATTTTGCTTTGAACTCATCACATGTGATAGACTTCAAGAAATGCTTAAAACTAAAGTTCAGTTTTTTTGAAGCTAAAACACACAGATGGCTGCATCCACTCAGTGCAAACTTAAATGCCCACCTGTTTCCAAAAGTCAAAAAGAAAAACCTAGCCTCTGTCTAGCTCTCTAGATGTGTGTTCGTATCTGACAATGAAATAAGCACCAGGCCTGCCAAAAGAGATTAAAAATTGATCTTGTGTTGTACTGTATTACCTAACCTGTTTATGAACTCTGTCACTAAGTGTGATGCAAGGAACCTGAGTTGATGACTAAGTGCTTTTGTGTTATTCACAGAAAAATAACACACAATAAGATAAGAGGCTAAAAGTATCTTCCACAGTTCTGGATTATATATCATACAGAAAATGTGTGTGTGCAAGCACAATTTAAATTTAGTGTTTAATTCCCAGAATTCAGACCTCCAATATTGTCTTGAAATAGCTGACAGCTCAGAGGGCATTATGGATAATGATCTGCAAATATGATGAGTAATACTTGGTATGCCAATGTGCTATGTCTCTTTTGAGAATCAGTTTGTCCAGAAAGGCCATTAAAAGTAGCTTTTGAAATCATATTTGACCGACCAGTATTTTGAAAGTTATTCTGAGCACATTATGCTGATGATCAGAACAGAAATGTGTGAGCTGAACAAGCCAAAAATGCTGCCTCAAAGCTTCATGAACAAACTGAAACCCATGGAGAGGAAAGGACTTATCCTCAAGCTCAGTACTAAATACTATTCTTATATATGTACAGAAACACATGTATAAATACTCTTTCCACATCATTGTCCATATGAAACCTGAAAGAACAGGCCCTGTAAACACTCAGAATATGAACGATCCTGTGGGAGCAGGAAGGTTTCTCAATCTCTCCCTTCAATACACTGTCCTCCACCCCAGCAGTGGCCGCAATTTTTAACTCTACTTTTATTATGTAAGCTCATGAATCATATTGAAATGAAAGGCTCCATATGAAAGTAAATTACTATTGTAGGGAATAGTGTTAAGGTTTCCTCTAACAATGATGTCACCCCCAAATGCCTTTTGGGAGTTTCCAGATGCCTGTAGTTGAGTACATTTGCTAGTTAGGGAAGATATCCATTCCAAGAACACACATGCATGCCAAACTGTGAATCACCATATTTAACACTGTGCCATTTTGCATAACTTAATAGGTGTGTTTGGGGGACAACTGACAAGCTAATTAAAGGGAAAAACCTACATTAAATGGTTATTTTCTACCTGTAGTATGCTTCTTACTGATCTTAAGAGCTGTGTGACTAAATACCACACACAGTGTTGAAAACTTACTTCAAAGGACCTAATTTAATCCCACAAAAGCTCTCTCCAGAAAATGCTTGTTTGCAGCCCTCAGGTACAGTACTTTAATTTTCAGTATGCTTTGCAGTATGTTAGCACATTCAAAGAGGAAGTTTGCTGTGGATTTTTCTTATATCTCTATACATTTGACTCTTTGGATTAGCCTCTTTGTACCTATATTCTAGTGTGTTTTTACAAAATAAAAATCAAAACCAAAAAACCTGCAGAGGGATACGCTGTGTAGGTTCCACTGTAGTTTCTGAGACCTTTAATGTATATTGTAGTTTTGGGAATTGCTGAGTAGATCTATGAAGAAAAGCTTGAGTGAGTAGCTATTCTGAACCTAGGAATTTTTGCATATATGCTGTTTTATATTTTACTTTTCATTTCAACTGAACACAGAAGCCTTACGTTGTTTATATTCGGGTGATATATTACTTCCATTATGAGCAAGTACTCCCATGCCCTCTAAATCCCATGGGAGGTGCACAATCCACTACCTTGCACTGTTAGTCATAATATAGGTATCAGAATTCTTCCAAGTAAGATCTGTTCAGACTCACAATAGTCAGATCATTTGATTAAACAGGCATTTCAGGGGCATATTTTTTTCAGAAGCCCTGAGCACCCAGAACTCCTGTTGCAGATATAGGAACTGCAGGTGCATAACAACTGACACTCAGTATGATTTTTGAGCCTTTGCCTTCTGGTCCCTGTGTCTCTCCCCTATTCTTCCTGCTCTGCTTCTTCCTAGGTACCAAGCTTGATTCCACTGTTGTATTGGGTCTCTAAGTGGGTTAGGATCATATGGTTCGATTATTACACTATTATTGATATTAGAAAATACTCTAGCATTGTCTAGAAGGGTAAGAATGCCAGTCTGACTTCTTCCTCTCCAAGGGAAATTTTTCTTAACCCTTATGGTAGGGAAATTTTTCAATATTTGCTGAAAAATAACAGGGGAGATTGAAATCTGAATTCTCACACCATAAATCTCATAATGTGTATTCTGGGGAGGGAACTTCCCAAAGTGTAAGTCAAAACCTACCACAAACTCATTTTAATAATGTTTAACACTGCCTCAAATCAATAGGTGATATAAATGTATAGAATTTTCTTGAGGGACATTTTGTAACCCTCATGCCTTCTGGATGCCATGCTGTCCCATCTAGTAGCACGGGGGTGGAGGGGAGAAGAGATGAATCTGCTATATAGCCCTAGCTGAGAGCCAGCTGGCTTTTAGCTTATGCAGTAGAGGCTCATGCACTAAGCTCCAGAGATCCCAGGTTCAGTTCTGCTTGTCGGCATTGCACTGTAAACAGCACAAAGATGCTCTGAGTGAGTTACTAGAAGATCCGTGCATTATTACTTACCAGGGGACATTTGAATACTGTTCTATAACAGTGGGTGAGGGTTTTTCCCCAAGGGATAAAAGTCACTAATGAGCGCAAATTCCATTGAAAACATGGGACTTGTGCTCCTAAATCGCTTAATCTCCTTTGAAAATCTTACCTACTATTCTAGAATCTTCCCTAAAATAGCTGGGAAAATATAAAGTAGTAATATATGACAATTATTTATCTAGTCATGTTTGTTTTATGACTGCTGTACTTTGGAGGACAAATTAATGCATATTTGTGTGACTCTTCAAATTAAATTGGGGGTGTTTCCTTTTTTAAAAGAACTTGCTGTCACTTGTTTTCTCTTCAGCTGGCTCTACTGCTTTATTCCAACTTGCTATATGTGTTGCTTGCCAAACAAAATCCCTGCTTCTTTTTTACACTATTTTGTCTTCCTTGGCACATGTCACTATGCATCTGGTGAGGCAGGTTTTAGTCCATGAAAGCTTACACCTAAATATATTTGTTAGCCTTTAAAGTGTCACAGGACTTCTCATTGTTTTTACTGAAGCAGACTAACACAGCTACCCCACTCATATGCAGACATGCTCACCATAACATTAATGATTTCTGATATCATGTGATTTGTTTCTGGGCTTTCAGCAAGCTAAGTTTCTGTGAAACAAACATGATCAGGACTCATTTCTAGCTTGATGTTGCTTGGAAGGGAAAAAGTGATTGTCCACAAGTTAGTACAAACGATGTTAGCCGAACTTTCACAGCCTGAATCAGCTAATGTAGCCAAACTGAGGTAATATAAATTTAAATGTTTGTAATGGGCTGTCTGGAAAAAGTAAAGTGTCTCTCTCTAGTTTTGGGCCGATCTCTTTTATTCATTCTAGAGAAGCTACTTAGTTATTTCTAATAAAAAAGCAAGCCTACCATATCTTAAGTATTTTTAGACTTCATTAGCTTGATATTTCCATGTGACAGTTTACTGTAATATAGGAGTAAAACCCAATAAACTATAACTCATTCCAAAAAAGTTTAGGTGAAATCATTTGAAGTTTAATTATGGTATTTTTTTTTCTCTATTCTTTCAGATTTCTGATTTTGGATTAGCAAAGTGCAATGGACTTTCGCATTCCCATGATCTCAGCATAGATGGTCTGTGTGGTACTATTGCCTATCTGCCGCCAGAACGTATAAAAGAGAAAAACAGATACTTTGACACTAAACATGATGTTTACAGGTCAGTGCGTACTTCTCAGTAGGTATCAGCAGAACTATCAAACTCTTGGTTAAATGGTACAAACCTGTAGTAAAAATGAACTTTGTTTCTCATATTCTAGAAGGCTGTGTCTAACATATCAGACAAAGCATAATTAAAAAATAATCAAAACTCCAGATTAAGCCCTGATCCTGCAAAGACTTAATGTTTAACTTTAAGAGTAGACCTATTGGAGTATTTGCAGGGTTGGTGACTGACTTTTTTGTTTTGGTTTGGTTTTTTTTTTGGTCTTACTTTGTTTTAATCCTTTCTCAGGTGAAACATTGGTAACAAATTGTACGGTGCAGTATTAAATGCACTGATAATCTTAGTTTACCCTAAGGTTTATAACTGTCATAAACTAATGAATTGATCCTATGACTTCAGTATTGTGGAAACCACCTTAGAACTCTCGTTAACTGTGTAAACCTTATGTCAATTTCTTATTGACTTGCTTGGCATGAATTTCTACATGCAGCATAGATGTACCCTAAGTGCAAACTCGTTTTCCATAACTTCATTTTAACTGCCATTAAGGCCTGGTTCTTGGCCCAGTCTATAAATACAGCTAATCCCATAGGGGTCATCTGTACACTAGCTGAGACACCCCCCTCAAAGGCTCAAAAGGACTAGAATGACACTAATGAAAATAACTATTTTTATAGGTGAACTTCTGATTTTTCTTCTATAGGATTAACCAGCATTATATTTATTTGCAGTTTTTCTATAGTGATCTGGGGAGTCCTCACACAGAAAAAGCCTTTTGCAGGTAAGCCAACACTATCTTGTTTAGGAGCTTCGTAGTTCTGATGTACATTTACTTCCTAACTGTCAGGGTGGTAAAACACTGGAATAAATTGCCTAGGGAAGTTGTGGAATCTCCGTCACTGGAGGAGATATTCAAGAGCAGATTACACAGGCATCTATCACAGATATTATAAACCATGCTTGGTCCTGCTGTGAGGGCAGGAGACTGAAATTGATGACCTCTTGAGGTCCCTTCCTGTTCTAGTATTCTATGATTATAGAAACAGGATTTCTTCCTCCCTTTGTGTGCATATGCCAGATTGAGGTGCCTTGCCTGACCATCCTCAATATCTGCAGCATATCAGTGTGCTGGCTATGGGTCTGAGCTCACACATTTCAAGTGTGGTTATAAAAAAAAGTCCAGCTTCTCCTTTGTATTCTGAATATGTAACCATAAAGCTGCCCTCAACCTGTGAGCTAGTGGGAGTTTGCATACAGTTCTAGAATAGCATTTGGTCCAGTGTATTTGCAATGGATCCTTGGCTTTGCTATTGGTAATTTTGGAAGCCAATTGTCAAAAGGCTTAACTGTAGTCAATGAATTAAATTAAGTGACTGTACATAGTGACTGGAGCGTAAATTCCTATTTGCCCAAGTCTCTCTTGAAAAATGAGAAGTCTTTTAAGTTGTAAGGGTTGACTTCTTATGCCATAGTTATAAAGCTTGACCTCAAAAGTTATGTTTTCCCCCTCTAATTCTTTCTGTATATATAGAAAAGTGTCCTTTTATTTGGAGCTTTAGATAAGGGCTCATGGATTCAGCATAATTTAGTTAAATGTGCTTAAATATATATATTTTTTGTCTTAACACAGTTTGTATTACATTTAACTTTACTTTTAAGCAGATTTATTTCTAAAAAGAAATAATAGTCTAATTTAAATAAAAATTGGATTTATACTTTTTAAAAACTGTTATGTAATCCTGCAAGAAAAGTTGCTGTTGTCTTCGAGGCCAACTATAAACCAAAGGGCACTCAGCAAGAGTTTTTTCAAACCCTTGACGTATATCAATCTTTGTAAAGTCTTATCTCCGTATAATAAATGCACTGAAATGCAAACTCAACTGTCTTATCATTTGATTAGTCTTTCAATTCTATAACAAACCTGTCTGGGCAAGTTACTCTCCCCACCCTATTATCTATTTTCTGGAGTACAGGATCTTGTTTGCTCCTGCTCCCTTCCTTGTTCCTCTTTGCTCAACTTCAGCATACAGTAGAATCTCAGAGTTATTAGAACTGGAGAAGGGGTTTTAGGAAGTCTGGTTCTATTCCCAGGATCAGCATATGTCACAGTGGTTAGACTAGAGCATACTTGTGTTGAATGATACACCTTTTTGGATCTTCTGCAGGGACTTTGCTTTGAATCACTGGATCTAAAAGTATGCATGATAATGCACGTGGTAGATTCACCAGCTGTTATATACAGTATGTCTGGAAGCTGGATTGTTGTAGAAATTGCTGTGTGGTCGTATTATTAGCTTATATGAAAAGCTGAGGCACACATCTGCAGCAATAAAAGAGGAAGGGACTTCTCCTACTTTGTGCATGTTCAAAATACTGTATAGTAACACAGACCAGTATTTCTTTCCAACCTGAGATTTTGTAAAGTGACCTGGCCTAGGTAGTAGAAACAAAGCACAGTCATTCAGTGACATCAATATCTCAGACACTTCTGAAAGCAAATATGGTTGGCCACTTATTTTCTAGCAGTTAGATTTTTTTTAATTCAAATTTCACTGTTCCTATATCATGACAGAAATATAATCCAGCCTTGGAAAATCATGCACAGAACCCAGGTGTAAACAGAAGCTACTGAACTTTCATATAAAGGTTTAAGGAAAATGATCTCATTTTGCTAACTTGTTTCAATTTGTGTGCCCTGACTTTCAGAAGAAAACAACATTTTGCATATTATGGTTAAAGTGGTTAAAGGCCATCGCCCAGAGCTACCTGCTGTTTCCAAATCCAGACCTCGCTCATGTAATAACTTGATCAAACTGATGCAAAAGTGCTGGCAAGATAATCCTAGCAAAAGGCCAACGTTTCAAGGTAATCTTTCATGATAATGCAGCTACCCATCTCTCCTGTGAATCATTTCAATGTCGAGGGTAAATCCTATAAACTAATGGGAACTCAATGCACTGAGCATTTGTAGTGAACGCACAGGTAAAGGAAGCTTATTCACTTGTGGGGAGGGAATTATATGAAGACAAGTCTGACCATGAAGAAATATTGTGTAAATGTCCTAGAAGACATGTAGTTCATTGAAAATCCCTGTAGCCATTGCCTGGGGAGCATGTTCATCTCCTAAAGCACATATCCCGGCCAAGATTACATTTGGTGTGGCAAGGGAGATTACTGGATGCCCAGGGCCATGGTGCCTAATGTTCTAAACCAGTGAGGAGGATTGATTTTGCTACAGCTGACTTATGTTTCTGGCAGTTTTTTTGAAAAGCCTTCAGCATCTCCTCAACCAAACACAAGTACTCAAACTGTAAACACATCAGAGAATGCTGTAATTCTCTCCAGATGTTTGTAATGCTAATCGCTAAAGTGAGTGATTATTTTTCCCCTCCCCCTACCTCAGATGATGACTGAGGCCTTGTGTACACCTGAAAGTTAGGTTGAAAAATCTAACCTACTCCCCTGCTGTGGGCAGTACTAGGGTCAATGAGAGCAATATTCCATTGACCTGGCTACCAAGGCACATGAAGGTGGCTGTACCTATTTTGACAGGAGAACCCCTCCTTTCGGCATAGGTAGTGTCTATACTAATGCACTGTAGCTGTTCTGCTGTAACAGTTCAAATGTACCCATGTCTTGAGGATGAGATTTCCACTTCAGTCACATATCTGAATCTCAGCCAGGTGGGTACTGAAAGTTTTGTTACCATCTTACAGTTGGTCATTAGCTTCTGTGTAATGAGTTGTTGGGCTTCATTCAGTTTTTAGTGGCTAGTTGGCCACTGGCATTTGGATGAAGCCATAGTTCAGTGTTCATGACAACCTAGCTAGACTCTTGTATCTAGAGATAAGGCACTGATGCTGGGCAGTGTGGGAGGGAAAACTTGCTGGGGAGAAATAAATATCCAGTACTGTTGATCAAGCACCTTTTGCTAGCATTAAGTACCTCTCAAACAAACAACTGCTGCATTGACTATTAAATCTTTCTTGCCTCTTTCAAAGAAATCACCTCAGAAACAGAGGACCTCTGTGAAAAACCAGAAGATGAAACAAAAGAAATGATCAGTCAGGACCTCACCACCAAAAGATCCCAGGAACCAACTTCTGAGGTAGTTTATGTCTCCACATTTAATATGAAACCCATTCTAAAAAGTTATAATTGCCAAAAGTGAAATACTATATAAGAGTCAAACGCTACCCTGACCTAACCCCCGTAGTACCATTGTAATACTCCTAGAACACCTCCCCTAGTGGTTGTTAGTTAGGCACTTTCTTGTAGGGGTTGTGGTAGAAGTGGATCTCAGTGTGGGATCTGAATGTAAACAAAAATAGCAGACTTACAGATCAGAAGGGATCATGTGTGCATTGAGATGCATTTGGAAGGAAGCACAAACATGGCTTTAGGAGAAGAAAGGGTAAAGTTGGGATCTTTAATCAGTGAAACAGTGGTTATGGTGTGATAAGAAACAAGATGGGTGTGGCTGGGAGGGCAGTATTATGCTGGGCATTGAAGGCTAAGGATTTGGGGTTTCTTGGTTGAGCGGGGGAATGAAGGGAGCCAATGGAAGAACTCCAAATGAGTTATAAGGGCAATTCAGGCAAGAAAAATATCACTGGATACCTCTTGTTTAAATTGTGTGGGAGAGAGACCACATGAACGTGAGGAAAGCCAGAGAGGAGGTGGCAACAGTAACGAAGATAATGAGGGCCTGACTGATAGTTACCTCTCTATCTGGACAGGGAGAGAGATCTGATCTTGAAAATGTTGTGGAGGAAGAAACAGCTGGATTTGGAGGCTCTGTAAATGTATAATACTGATAAATCATGTAATTGTTTCCTAGTACTCAGTCTTCCAGGGACCTTTTCATTTTGTTACTTTAACAGTGTTACAAATTCCTGCAATGAGCACAGTTTGATTTTGTGCTAGCGATGTAAAATCCGGATTAATCAGTTAACCTGTTAAACCTTAGGTTTAACCAGTTAACCGATTAAACAAGCTCCTGCATGGAAGTGAGCGCCAGCAGCTCCAAGCGTTGGGCTGGGGCCAGCTCCTGCTCCTGACTCCCCCTATTTCATGTTGCTAATTTTCCCCAGTGACAAATGAAATCTAGATGCTTTTAAAACATGGGTGTTTTTTTTTCCCTTTCTTTTGAAGGGAATGCCTGCGTTATCCCACCCAAAACGTGAGTCCACTCCAGTCTCGGCTAAGGATTATAGCCTCTCTGAGTTGTTGTCCCAGTTGGATTCGGGAATCTCACAGACGATGGAAGGTCCTGAAGAACTAAGTCGTAGCTCTTCTGAGTCCAAACTTGCTCCCAGTGACAAGAGGCTTTCAGGGGTTTCATCTGTAGATTCAGCCTTTTCTTCTAGAGGTTCCTTGTCACTGTCATTTGAGAGAGAGAACTCTGGAAGTGGTAAGTGTTGGTAACCTTGTCTTGAATGAACCCTGGGTTAAATGCAGGATAAACTTGTAGCCTGAAATGGGGAAAGCATTATGATTTGAAACTAGGGCATATTCCCCTCAAAAATAGGTGCCTAAGCTGAAGCTCCTGGGTACCTAAATATGTGGGAGATGTCTGGTCACTTAGTTGATTTTTTTTGGCAGTAAAATAACATGTTTAGTTGTTCCTAAAGTTTGTATTTAGACATGGCATTGGGTTCCTTTTTTAAATATCTTGCTGGTGTCTTACAGTTGGTTCAATATGGACACTGTGTCTAGACTGGCATGATTTTGCACAAATACTTTAAACGGAAAAGTTTTTCCGTTAAAAGTATTTGCGCAAGAGAGCGTCTATACTGGCATGTGCCTTTGCACAAAAGATTTGCTTTTGCACAAAAGCATCCATGGCAGTGTAGACATTCTCTTGCGCAAGAAAGCCCAATAGCTAAAATAGCCCATCGGAGCTATCGGGCTTTCTTGCGCAAGAAATTAACGTGACTGTCTACACTGGCCCTCTTGCGCAAGAATACTTGCATAAGAGGGCTTATCCCTGAGCAGGAGTGTCAGAGTATGTACGCAAGAACCACTGATTTTGTACATTACAAAGTCAGTGTTCTTGCACAAATACTCGCAGCCAGTGTAGACAGGCGGCAAGATTTTGCGCAAAATCATGCTAGTCTAAACGCTGCCTGTAAGACCTATTAGTGATTTTCTACTTCTAAGCTAGTACTCCTAAAGACACTGTTGGTTCTGAGATAATTGCAGGGGTGAGGGCAGATCACTTGCAGAATGTCTGTCTTTCCCATCCCACTGTGCTCTCCTGCCTACTCCTATGAGAGAAGGTAAGAACAGAGTTAGGTCACATTTCAAATCTGACTTTAAAACTGTGGATTAAACTGTAGCTTGATTCCTAAGTAAGGAAAAGTGGTGCCTTGATTCACTGTTAGTCCGTTTCAGTCATGGGAAATTACATTCTTGTTTGTAAAAGAATGTTGATGCTCTTTCCCCATCCAGATATTGGCACAACTGATATCCAGAAGAGAAAACTGGCCGAGGCAATTCTCTCTGGAGACACGAGCAAACTAATGAAGATTCTCCAGCCCCAAGATGTTGATCTTGTCTTAGATGGAAGCTCCAGCCTTTTACACTTGGCTGTTGAGGCAGGTCAAGAAGAATGTGTCAAGTGGCTCCTTCTATATAATGCCAACCCCAACCTGACCAATAAGAAAGGGTCCACTCCTCTCCATGTGGCCATTGAGAAGAAAATAAAAAGCATTGTGGAGCTGATTCTGGCACGGAAAATCAATGTGAATGCCAAAGATGAGGATCAGTGGACTGCGCTTCACTTTGCTGCGCAGAATGGGGATGAGTTCAGTACCCGAATGCTGCTTGATAAGAATGCGTCGCTGAATGAGGTGGATTTTGAAGGAAGAGCCCCCATACACATAGCCTGCCAGCATGGACAAGAGCAGATAGTGCGGATACTATTGAGAAGAGGTGTCAATGTGGATATCAAAGGCAAGGATGGCTGGGTGCCACTGCACTATGCTGCCTGGCAAGGTCATCTCTCCATTGTAAAGCTTCTGGGGAAACAGCCGGGTGTCAATGTGAATGCACAGACAGCAGACGGCAGGACCCCGCTGCACCTGGCAGCACAAAGAGGCCATTACAGAGTTGCCCGCATTCTCCTAGAACTGCAATGCAATGTCAACATACAGAACGTGCTCCTGCAGACCGCCCTCCATGTAGCTGCTGAAACTGGCCATACCAGCACGTCAAGGCTGCTCCTGAATCGTGGCGCAGAAATAGAGGTAGCGACAGCAGAGGGCTGTACCGCACTTCATTTAGCCTCCCGCCATGGACATCTAGCCACCACCAAGCTGTTGCTTGATGAAATGGCTAACGTGCTGGCTAGAGGCCCCCTGAACAGGACTGCGCTCCACCTGGCTGCTGAAAATGGACACGCTGAAGTTGTGGAGGAACTCGTCAATTCGGAAAATGTAAACGATCTTGATGAGGAAGGGCTGACCTCTCTTCATCTGGCCGCAAGAGGCGGGCATGCAAAAACTGTGGAGATTCTATTAAAACATGGGGCCCTTCCTGATTTACAAAGCCTCAAGTGTCAGACTCCGCTGCAGCTAGCTAAGCAAATTGGGAATAGCTCTGTTGTCATGCTACTAAGTGAGACTTAGAGGAACAAATTCTGAATCTTGAGAGCTTTACTGAAGCTTGATTCTCTCTGGGAGTCCCCCTGGAATTTTGCAGTGACCTGCTTTTCTATTCAGTCTGCAGATAAATCTGAATTCCAGCCAATCAGAAGCTGCATTTTAGAGAGGTAGCATATGGCCTAGTGACCTGAGTGTAGGAAGAGCCAGGAATTCCTTAGTATTGATTCTAGGTCTGCCATTGTGTTGTACTGGGCAAGGCATTTTGTTTCCTTCCCAACCTGTGTAGTGGAGATGAAAATACTTATATAACGAATCTCACAGGGATGTTGTGAGGGTTAATTAGATGGTGTTTAAATAGTGCCTTTAATTTTACAATGTGCCATACCCTCATTTAAGTATTATCATCCTGCCTTCTGATTTCTTCAGGCACACGGTGGGACAAGCATATTATTTTAGGTGACTGGATTATTACATAATCCATCCTGTGTGTGTGTGTGTCTGAGTGATTTTTTTTTAAAATATAACTTGTTACTATGGAGGCAGTGATGGTACAGAAATCAGTTGGAAATGAGCACTGTTGGAAAGACAAATGTGTTTTAGACTAGGCCTGTTTCAACAGGGATCATGTGGCTAAGTGTTATAATGTCTCTTTCAGAAGGTACAGAATGGAATATATGGAAATGCTCCACTTCTTTCATTGTAATAGAGAGACGATTATATAGCCACACATTTCTATTTACTCAGAATGGTCAAGAGAAGAGTATCTTTAGTCAATGCGTATAGTAGAAGAACTGGAAGAGTTCTCAGACTGACTGGTGGAGTGAAGCATAGACGTTCTTTTTTTTTTTTTAAATACATTTGTAACTTGAGTGTATATAGTGTAAAATCAGCAAAATATAAGATTATTTTTTGTTACCAGTCATTTGTGAAATAAAGATCTGTAACTGTAGTCAGATGTTCTATTCTGATAACAGTATAGAACTGTTCGCATGCAGTTTGTTTAGATTAGGAGTAGAGTAGAACCACATGTACAGTGGCATGGTGTGTCCTAAACTGTGTGATGAATAATCTAATATAAATATACTGTGTATATATTATTTCTACCAGTTGTATAAATTTTCTAAGGCAGAAAATATTGAGACTATGTATAGGTCTGGGTATGTTTTAATACACCTCTTAATGTTCACTGTTTTCAAAGTTCAAATGTGATCTGTTTATCAATAAATATAATGTTCTGTTTCTATTGTATGTACATTTTTTCTGCTTAAGCTTAGTTTGCTGTGGCTTATGGGGGGGAGAGGGGGAAGTAAGCTACATCATGAATTTAAAGCAAACTGAACTTCTAAATCTTACGTGTGTGTGGTGTGTGTGTGTGTGTGTGTGTGTGTTAAAAATACAGATTAGTATCCTTCCTTTATTAAAGGTATAGGGGCTTTGTTCTGTTTTGGGGCAATAAACCAAATTGCAAGCAGATGGAGACAATTTAGTAGCTCTTACAGACTGAGGTAAAGAACAGTTTATTACATTATTATATACATGATTTAGCACTGTCTTCAGTTTAAAAGCTTGAGGCATTAATTAAGAAGATCTAGCCTTTGATTTGTTTTATCAGCTTTCTTTACTTACATTTGGGCTACGTCTACACTGGCCCCTAATTCCGGAAAAGTCATGCAAAGCAGGTAAGTCAGAATAGGGAAATCCGCGGGGGATTTAAATATCCCCCGCGGATTTAAATAAACATGTCCGCTGCTTTTTTTCCGGCTTGGGGAAAAGCCGGAAAAAAGCGTCTAGACTGGCGCATTCCTCCGGAATAAAGCCCTTTTCCGGAGGATCTCTTATTCCTACTTTCAAGGAATAAAAGACCCTATTCTGACTTTCCTGCTTTGCATGACTTTTCCGGAATTAGGGGCCAGTGTAGACGTAGTCTTGTAGTTTGAATTTTTTGCTTATAAATGTCATATGACCTCCCTGGGGAAGGAATTTCTGTACGAATGTGTGTTAGTGCTTCACTGAGTAACCAGATGAGAATCTAAACCATTCAAAGTATGCAACGGTGTTTCAGATAGTTAGCTACTGTACAGAATGCACTGGTATGAAGGAATCTTAGAGAAACTAACCCCAAGATTTTAAAAAAAATAAATCCACAGGATCTTAGCATGTGTATTTGTAACTGCAAGCTGCTTAACACTTTTGAAAATTTCCTGATTGGATGGTGATAGATATGTAGCCATGTTTTTCTGATTGGATGGGTTACTTCTCTGCCTATGCTGGTTATATTGGAGAATAACTATTTACACTCCGCCAATTAGCCTGTACACTGGGTTATATATCAAATGCAGCTTTTAAATCTCTGCAGTGCTAAAGAGCATGGAGCATTCAGAATTAACTTTCTAAAACAAAGGCCAAAAAACCACCTGGTTTTAAAATAACCTAATTCTAACTTTGTTCTGTTCGTCATCATCTCTCCTGAGACAGACACACCTATCAGGCTACGTCTAAACTACAAAGATTCTTTGATCGCATTTTTCGAAAATGAAAGTAGTGTGGACGTGGTTTTTTCGAACCCACACCACCATTTTCGGGGGAAAAAAAAGAGAACCCAACTCTTCCTTTAAAAAAAAATAAAAAAAAATTTTCCCCCCAAAAAACTGTGTCCAGACTACTTTCATTTTCAAAAGATTCTCTTTCGAAAATGAGATTGGAAGAAGATATGGCAATTCCCACGGAATTTACATATCCTCTTTAAAAAAATCTTTGAGGTTTAGATGTCAATGTGTTCCCTGTAAAATACATATCCTTGTGGAAAATGCAAAAGCATGAAAATTCTTTTAACAGGCATCCCATTGTAATTTGCCTCAATCCTAATTACCAACACCCTACTCACACAGTAATCCTTTTGAACAGTGTTGATCATCCTATGCTTTGTGATTGGTAAAAGTTGCCAATGTCCCCTAGAAAGGAAGGTGGTCTCAAACTTGCTTTTATCTGGATTAGCTTTCAAGTTAGACTTGAAAAGCTGAATTAGCTTTCAAGTTAGACTAGAAAACCTACCCAGCAATCCAGTTCCCAACAGCAGTGACCCTGAGGGTTGATATTACCTAATCTGTCTTTCAAGAACAGTTTTCCTGACTGTTTGGACAACATCCTGTATTTTGCAATATGTCCCCAAACTATTCATTTTTTTCCCCCCACTACACAGAAAAGGAATTCTGTAACCTACTGCATCTGTACCACTCAGTGCAGTGTGTGGTAGGTGCTTATAAGATTGATATCCACCACTGCCATGTTGTAACACACTTGTGTAACTCCTTATAACAAGTCCTCATCTGCTGCCTTGCCAGGACATTCCTTCCAAACAGATTAATAATCATGCATCAGCTTCTAATTAAATACAAGGCCACATACTCACAAACATTTTTTTTCTTCCTTTCACAATAAGAGGCATTGGCTATACCTTTCAAAAGAGTAGGTGTGGCTGGCACTAAAACCATTTGTGAGAGACAAAATTAGCTCTTCAGCAAAGGATTAAAAGTTATGGGGGGGAAAAACTACATGTGAGATACTGTCACACAGAAATGCTGCTCTGTGCCTACTAATGAAATATGGAGGAAAGATTGGGCTCAAACTAATGGGAACTCCTTTGATCTTTCAGCTCATACTAGCTGGAAGCACACTTAGAGCTATAAATATGTACTCTTCATGGTTGGTATCCAAAAATGATACTGTGAGGGGACTTGATTTTCAGAAATTATCAACTACCCGTTGTCCGAAAATAAGGTACTTTAAAAGGTGTCGAGTTAGACACCTAAATAGTGCACAAAATCACTAGTCTCTCTCTATAAAAAGTTTTTCCTGCCATGCAACAGAATGATGTTATCAGGCTCTCTGGCTGCAAAAGTGGCCAGAGAGAAGGGGGTTGGGGAGCATAGCGAGCATGGAGTGCAATTCCCTAGTGTTCCTTTAAAATCTTTTTTGTCTTTAAAGATCAGGACCATCCATTTGGATTATCCAACATCTATATTATATTGTGTTTACACAGTAGTTGTACTGTTCCAATAAACTGGTGCTAAAAGTTGTGTGAACACTCTCAGATCTTGGTCTAAGAGGCATATTTTGGTTTAGCTTAAATGGATTGTTGTTAAAGTCAAAATACTTTTTTTCCCCCAAAAGTTTTAAGTATCCACACTGTTTTGTACCACTTCAAATGATTTCTTGTTTTAAAATCAGACCAGAAGTGAAATGAGTGTTTTCAACTTAACACACACTGTTTTTCAAATTGAAAGCTCTGCCCATTCTGACTCCCAGAAAAACTGGGCAAATAAGTAGTTGGAGGTCAATAAAATTGGACTCCAAAATCAAACATTGCTTCAGGGTCTCTGCTGAGCACCTCTGTTCTTTTCCAACTGAATGATCACTGGAGGTTGGCAGATCTCTTAAGAGTTCAGGCTTTCAGATCTTGAGATGTGTTACTTGTATGCAACTCAACCTCATTCTGTGGTGCTAATGGCAAAGGTGATCCTTAGGGTTTCAATGCATGCACCAGTCATCTTGTTCTGTGTATCCTAAGGCCACAAAGCTACTGAAGTCTCTTGTCCAAAAGGTAGGAAGAGGGGAGGCGTATCCAGTTAGTGACTGAAAACTTGTTAATGTTGAGAAATCCTCTGGCTAGAGAATACAAGCCTCAGCTTTTCAAAGTAGTTTTTTCACAGGGCTATGGAACTGACTCTTAAAAGAGCCTGCCTCCCAATGTACATGTGCAACTCTTCACAAATGATTTTGTAAACGAATGCATTTTGCACATGGAATGTTCTCTCCTGGTCACGCAGGTGATATACTACTCGGGCATATCACAGTGCACAGAAGCAGGTGTATGTATGAAGCTGCACATAATTATGTAGGTAGCAAATTCTACCAGTCAAATACACAGAGAAATGTTGGAATTACAGTTCATCTGCAAGTTCAATTCTCATGCTAATAGGCTCAATCGGGATGAGGGATGGCTGGGCCATTACCAACTTAACATTCAATGAAGGTGGAAACAGCTCTTTATGTAGATTCTTATGTTAGTATCCCCCCCTATCTATTGACTTTGATCCTTATCTGCTTCATTTTAACTATACAATCTCCAGGTACTTACTGATTATTCTGCCTTCCTGTTTTTCCTTTTGATGTTTTCATAACCTCTGCTCCTTGTTTCCTTGTCTTCCCCCCCCTCCTTTTTTTTCCTTCCCCCTTCTCCCCTATTTATTTTGGGTCTGCACATCCTAAACTCAAAACTCCGGTCATCTGTAGAAGTGGGCTGTGCCCACAAAAGCTCATAATACCATCTACACATGTTTTGTTAGTCTATAAAGTGCTACCAGACCAGTTTTTGTCTCTTAAGTTTTTCCTTTTGTTGGCATTGATGCAAACGTGCGAATGATGAAACTGATGCATATTTAGGAGTAGGTTGTTTGGGATTTTCTGGAGGGGCAAGGAGAATAGTACAGGGTACATTTTGCCCACCCACCCCACCCTGCCTTGTAATAATGCCAGTTCCCTGTATGGGGTACATTCCTTGCAGACTGCGAAGCCCAGAGTTGCTTTTCCCTATCCCCCAAATGGGGGGTAGGGTGAGAAGGAGATTGGTTGAAGGCTAGATGAAGTCTGTTGCACTTTCCTAAGAAATGATGCAGTGTGTGCAGTGCCTCTGGAGAGGGGGAAATGCTAGTGCTGTCCACAATCCAGTCTTGTTCAGTTTGTTCTTGCTTGCTGCTGGCTTTGTTTTAGCTTCTGCAGAAAGTGAAAAGCCGGTGAACCTTGTTTCTACAGGCCTCAAAAGGAAACAGCAGGCTCACAGTTCAGACATGCTTCTGTTCCTTTGTGGTAATACAAAAAGAATGTGGATTTATTGCAAACATCCCCACAGGCGAATCTAAGCCCTTCCATTCATTTCCCTGCTGTTGCATCATCTTGATTCTGCACAGCAGGGTTACAAGAAAAACAAGACACACCTGAGGTGACTTGTAACACAGGGCTTGGCTGCAGAAGAGATTGTGGGAAGGCTGTAGGAAGAGACAGTACCTGGGCTAGTGAGAGGCAAAGGAGCAGCTTTCTTAGAGATGCTGCTGACTTGCCATCACAAGAAGGCTTCATATCAGGACTAGTGTCCTTTTCATCCAACTCAGCCAGAAGTCCTGGGCTTGCTGAAGGAATCACTGATTAAGTTCTCT